GCTCTATTATATAGTTTCCCATAAGATACAATGTCCAAATGGCAAACTAACATACATCTTGGTAAACAAAATGGGAACAACTTTAACTGAAGAATATGATACAACAACAAGTACCACATTAACAACAGCAGCAATAACAAATCTCCTCTACCTAGAGAGCTACAGCCTTTGCCTCGCTTTCTAAGCCATACTGAACAGCTTCGGTGGTACTTCTTGCAATGCGTTCCTCTAAACACGATGTGGCGATATTTTCGTGAAACAACAGGGTAATCGTAAAGCTGAATGAAATTTGTCTCGGGTAAATTACGGAGATCGCTCGACCATCCAAGGGCTGAAATCCTTACCATAGTTGCTTCGTATCTGAAGTCGCTCTGGCTTTATTCTAGGTCCTGGACATCTGTAAGAAGTTCTCGGTTTTCTCCACTACTGGATGAAAGGACGCGTTACATCAGCAAAGCATAAACTTTCGACACTAAGTCGGCTCTAATTCCGCCCGTCGATTTTGAATTAGATTTTAAAATCTCCCTGAGATCTTTTGCTTCGAGTTTCTGAATGTCATCTAATGACGAAATTTCCATATTGTTGCATTAAAGAACCATTTTGAAGGGAGAAATCGCATTGAAAAGTGCATCAGAACGTGAAATGTCAGCAGATGAGCTGTTTGAAAGAACTGCCGGGTCAACACCAGCCTCTTTATCGAATGTGCGCGTTTACTAATCCAATGTGGCGCCGGGAACTGTAAAAAGTCTATTGAAACATGTTTTGCAAACTTAAAAAAGTTATGTGTCTTAGAAGTATTATTGTAAGGTAGCTGAAAAACTGATATTACGTAGTCGTTGAAATTCGAAATCTCCTCGTAATGGAAGAAAAAAGTCATTTTGTACGAAAAATTACTCCCACCCCGAATCGTGATACCCAGAACTACAGGATACCCTGTAGTAAATGTAATAAGCACTTGACGAAAAGAGTCGCAGCTGGGAACAAGGAGAAAAGACCGGCAACAAACGTTCTGCCATTCACATCCGACAATTTGCAAATTTGCAAATATATATCCTAAACGTCGACAAGGAAAACAAAATTTCAGCGATGATTATGCTGAAATTATACTTGCCCATACCATTTCGCTATGGTATGGGCAAGTACTGGAGCATTATCCAGGGCACAAAGGACCACCTACCAGCGTCAAAAGTCGTGACGTGATCAACCCTGCCATGGCTAAGGAGGTGTTTCATTTGTTTGATATATCTGTGTCGATATATACCTTAGTGATGGCGAGCACAAACACGCGTACGTAATGTTTTCACATCTTCATGAGACAAACGGTCGAGGCAAGCCCTTTGCGGGATGATCTCACATTCTTTCAGGTTTGCACGCGACAAAAAACAATTTTCTGATGTGTAGTTACATCATCTCGACATTCATACAGAAACATTGTCTCCGTGCGACCACGTGAGGATCCGCAGTCCAGGAGACCCTCTTTTGACTAAGTACAGGCATCCGCCATGATTACCTGGTTGTTTCTATTTTTACGTCCGCTGACCCCTGTAAGCGCTGACCCGCAACGTCCGTTGGAATGTAACGAAATACATGCAGCCCACGCAAGTACTAAATGGACACTATCTGAAGTTAATTTTCACCTGAATTCATCATCATTCATGGCAATAATATAAACTGTTTCACTTCAGGATTTCTGGCGGCTGAAGAGTTGTCTTTTTACTTATATTCTACGCAGTTGCTTGGATTTTGCCGTAGTTTGGAGAAATGAGTGCTGTCACGCGATAACATTTCCAAGATTCAACTCAACTCAGCAGATGGTAAATGTAAATTGTTTTCTTTTCCTACCTATTTTTCATCTTCCTTTCTCTTTTAATACCATATCCTTCTATTTAGGATGGTATTTGAGCGCCTAGCAAGGTTTAAACTGACATTTATCAAGTACGTACTTGTTACGTAACAAGTTCATGGCGCTATATTTTTAGTTTAAAGCGAAACTGAAGCAAAAGAAATTCATTTTAAATAGTAATAGGTAACCTCTACTTGGAAGATAAAAATCTGCCGATTTTGATTTTTAGCCAGAAATCATCGGTCGTTTCTCTGACGCAGGGCCTCTTAAACACGTCTGTCGTTGTAGATATGTATCGACATCCAGAAAAACCAACACAGTTCCACTTACCTGTTTCTTGTCTGGTTGCACTGAATTCATCCATTAAAGGAGGAAGAAGCAATCCAAAGGCGTATGGACCGCCAGTTGCGATCAGAATAGACAATACGGATGCTGCACAAACCAGGCATGACCAAAAGCTATCAGGACGCCGCTCCATGATGTTATTAACCTTTGCTATGTCAGATACTTTCTCACAATATTGGACAAATAAAGAATGCGTTATACCTATAATCTCCGACCTCTGCTTACGTCAGTTGAATCTAGAAGTGTAGTCTTCGTGATGATCCCTAACAAACGGAAACCTTTCTTCAGATCTAAAACAGATTCTCTGCTTTACCTTTCGGTTTGCATACTAAAGAGATCAGAGAGTAAATGGGAGAAAGTTGGCCCTACTTAAGGCGCTTTTTAGATAACGACCTTTGTTCCTCCCCGACAACGGAGAGATTTCAGTGAAAAAAGAAGTTTACACAGCATGAAATTATAAATTTACA